GGTCTAAATCCTTGATTATCTTGAAATCCTATTTGACAACATCTTTCTGGCCTTTAATAAAAGATGTTTGTCTCATCGAAATACCCATAGTTTTCTAAGACCGTTTTAGCAGATGTCATCTGACTTTCAGGTGTAAAGTCATGTTTTCATCGGGTGACTTAGGTAAACTTGTTACAATAGAACTGTTATATAATCACTATTATATTCTTTTTGTCGATCCTTTAACTATTCATAAAAAGATATTTGCAAGAAGTTTTATAATTCAAGGTTAATAAAGTCTTATTACTTTCTTTAAACCAACTTGAGAATAAGATTTTTAAGAGTTACCTTATAATTTTTATTACCTTTTTTATATATTGTTACAAAAAATTTGTCTTTTAGTACCAGAAAGACAATATTTATTTTTTTTATCAATGGCAAGAAAGTTCTGAAAGGAAGTGAACCTGATTTTTTTATCTTCTCTTTACCTGCCACAGAAACAGTATAGAGTCTTGTTTAATAATAAAAGACTTATTATTAGACAACTCTACTACTCTCTTGACAACATCATGATATAAAATTTTTTTGATTAGTGCTAGTGGAGTTAAGGCTTTACATAAGGGATTTTCAATATCAAAGGGGTAGATATCATAGGTAAATCCTTGGTACATTAGCCACTTCCTTATAAAATCTAGGGGTAGTAATAAGCCACTTAATAGATATTGCTTTATTATATCTCCAGGGAGTGCCAAGTGTATTTTATAGATAATATAATTAAAAAATACTTTTTACTCAATATTATTTCTTGTTTTGTTTCAGTAAGTAAAATACCTATACTAAATGATTATGTAATTATCTTATTCTGGTTGGGTAAAACATAAATAGTTTGCTTTTTGTACTATTGTTGATTTGTAAATTCTTAGACAGCACAAATAATTATTCATCTTTGTTGTCCTTAGATATTTTTTTCTTTAATAAAATATGTTTATTCTGATGCAAGAATGAGCTAACATTAATATATATATATATATAATCACTATTGTTATTTTAGTATTATATTATGCATACATTACTTTGTAATTAGCTAATTCTCTATTATCACAGTTCATAATATTTTATTTTTTTATTTCAAATAGATTGTTTATATATTATTCTATTTTGTAAGATATATGGTAATAGTCAGCAATTGATTTTTTTACATAAGCTTCAATTGTATTACAATTATTAATTACATGATTATAGTGAAAATTCTGAATTTGGTCTGATTTTTTGACCTTTAGCAATATCAAATTCAATAATGTAAATCATTTTAAAATAATAAAAATGAAATGTAATACTTTAAATTATTATATTTTATTATAAATCCCAATTTTTTCTAGTATAACATTATTTTAATCTTTTTTTATTATTTTCATCAAATACCAAAGATTTTTTTTTTTTTTAGCTCAACTATAAAATTTTTATTATATAAAATAGGTTAAATAATATAAAAGCTTATTAAGATTGTTAATAATTGACTAAATAAAATTTGTTTATGCGAGAGTTTCTTGTTTAATATGCCGATTAAAGTCTGACTCGTCACTGCTTGCAACAGAATTTCATATAATTTTAATCTTATCATTCCGCTCACTTTTTATGCATTATTATTTTGATGAAGAGAGTCCGGACAATTTAAACTTATAGCTGTTCCTTACAAAAAAATCATGATAATAAATATTTTATAACAGTACGTAGACTAGCAAAGATTATAGTATAAGAATGCAGTCCATTAATATTTTCGTTCTGTAAATAAAAATTTGATATTAAGAGGTCATCTCGACTTCATATTTGTTCAAGTGATAAAATAAAATAAAATAAAAATCCCACGAGTAAAGAATAATATCCTTTCACGACTTGTATTGGAGAATCGACATTCTAGCCCAGTTTGTTTATATATCTGAAGAATTCCGTAAATTTGTTTAATTTTGACTTATTGGCGTCAGAAAAATCAAGGCGGCTTTCGGTAAATCTGAATTGGGCATCGTGCTTTCGTTCTTCCTCTTCTTTTTCGCTGAGAAATTTTTTACCACTTAACGGCAAATCATATAATTCTTTTTCGAGTCTATTTATTTCCTCTAATGAAATCACGGAACTAGAGACCACCGAGTTCCCACCTTGTCTCATGAACTCTCTCAATTCAGAGTGCTCCTGCTTTAAGGTTTCTAGGGCTCTTGTTCTTTCTTTTTCTCCTTTAATTTTTGCTAGTTTTATGAGATTGTCAACGTATTCATCGTATGCGTCATTAAAAAGTGCTATTGTATTTTGTTTTAGAAACAGTACAAACTTATTCTTAATACCGAAAATTCTCTCCTTTTCGCTTGAGAGGCAAGCCAACTTAAACTCAATATTTTCTATAAGTGCTTGTTTTCTTTCTGCTTCCGATTTATTTTTATTGACCTCCTCCGCCACTTCACTTCTTGTAATTTGTATAGGCTTGCGCGTTTCTCTTTCGACAACTTGCTTGTGCATTTTCCAGGAACATCCGCAAGCCTTGCATTTTCCGTCGACTCCGATTGACGAACAAAACCATAAGAAGAGTCTTCCGGTCATATTCCGTTTAATTTTGATATGACACGCCTTACAACAAATAGTGTTATTCTCGGAACATTTTTTATTTGTGCATACATTGATTGGGGATTCAAGTGATTCTACGTTAAATTCATATTCTATATCGTCCATCGATTTCGTAAGTTCCTCGATGGTCTTTTCCGAGCTCACTACCTTTTCTTTTAACTCCGTGATCTGTTCGACGGATCTGTTTATAAACAGTTGTATGTCGGCAAGAGGTTTCATAAGGAATTTTATTACCTTTCTAGAATTATTAAGCGACAGCATATCTTTCACTTTGTGGGGCGGACGACTTATAACGTGTTCCATAAGTCTTAGCGATTCCCGTACCGATTTTTCCCAGCTTCTCGCATATTCATCTTCATCGGGAAGATGAACATTCTCCATGGTTGCTGCTAGAAACCTAAATGATTCGTTGTCGAAACAAAATGTTGTCTCTTTCCGGACCTTTATTTCAACGCCAGAATTATCTTTAAGCGTATTGAGTTGTTTAATTAATGGTGGTAATGTATCGCCTGGGCGATAGAATGTTCCTCTAGAATTTGTAAAGCAGAAGACTATATTATCCTTGGCGCTCTTGTGAAGATGTGTTAATAATGAAAGTATGCAATATTTAAATACAGCGGTCAATCTTGAGTTGTTTGGTTTAAGAAGAATGCATATCCCATTCAAATTTTGATAATTGGAGATGTACAATAATACGTTTTCAAAGTTCTTTGCATCTTGATCAACGCCTCTAGTATCTCCTACTCCGGGTGTATCGATCAGTTTTATGACCTTATTGGCTGCATAGAACGCGTAATATTTACACTTTTGAGTGGCCGACATTTCTGAATTTTCGAGTTGTTCTCCATCGTCAACTTGTTCGCCCACTTGTATGACTCTCTGTTCATAATTTTCATTTGTTAATGTGAACTTGGACGGGATCAATACCTCCATGTCTCCGGATTTTGCGTCATCCAACGAATCAAATTTCAGGTAATTTGCGAATGCGTTTATAAAAGTGGATTTTCCTACTCCTGTTTCACCCAGCAATAATATATTTATTTCTTCATTATCAGCTGAATAACCGTTATCGGTGACCTTTCTCCCTTCTACATAATGAAGAATTACCGGATAATTGGACCCTTTTATTCCCCTGCATATTTTACGCTCGGCTATTAAGAATTTGCTCAAACCGTTATTCGAATGAGTGTATAGGTTTCGGAACTTGGTGTGCTCTGACGAATGTTTACCATTAATGAGGTATTCATCATTGTCACTGAATATATAAAGGTTGAAGTACTGATATTTGTTTAAAATGAAATCAATAGTGGAATCTTTTTTAATGTATTCCACGTTTTTTTCCTTTAGGGTGAATATCAACTCTGCCTTCTTGGATATGCTATTATATTTTCTAATAAATGCCCCAATGGATTCGTTAGATAGCATACTCTTCTGAAAATTAATTATCCTTTGTTCAATTTCATCAATATTACATCTACCCGAACGCACTCTAACGAGACTATTGGCAAGTTTTTGCCTGAAATTTGTTTCCTCAATTTTAGTATCCTGCATGCGTTTCTCGATTTCAGACAAAGTCTCGTCAAGTATGTGGTCAGATATGGATCTGGCATCATCATACAAATCATTTAACATCTTTTTGGACTTAAGAAAATCATCAAAAACTTGCTCTACCCTTAAAATCGTTTGTTCGCTTAATTCCGTTATCATTCTTCCAATAGTAAATATATACTTGAACTTCCTCGCAAGTTCGGACAATGGATAAAGTTTGAATTCAAACGGCACACCCTTTCCATAATTATATTTTTTGGCGTATAAAGGGAGTTCAGTTAGGATTTCTTTTGCTTCGGCAAAGGATCGAGGAAGATTTTTGTTATCGGGAATAACGTCTCCAAAAATATTTATGGAGAAATGATTCATAAGTTCATGTCGTTCGCCTTTGATATCTGTATCACCTCCCGCGGAAGCATCGATGCATGAGGAAACCTTTTCAAAGTTAGCCTTAAGAATTCCTTCGACTACCGAATTGTTTTTTGCATTTCTATTCTTATACTCGAATGATGCCATCATTGTAGCTCCCCACTTTATGCCTGTTACAACATGCGTAGCGCCACGTGCATTAAAAGCGTCGGTATCAATGTATGCTTTGATTTCTTCACGATTTATACTTAAACTTTCTTCGACCGAAGAGATATGGTATATTAGAGTACCTTTCACAGATCTTGAACTATTCTTCACATCTCTCAAATATTTTCCTGAACCTTCCAAGGCGAGTAAACCAGAGAGAATGCTTATCTTTAATTGAGATTCAACATCTAGCTTATTAAACTTTTCTTTATATGAATCCCCATACTCAAAGACTAAGTCAGTATGGGGAGTTTCAATTCTATCTATGACTCGAACTGGCAGTTCCGCCATAAATACGTAAGGAGGATTCGCAAAAAGCATCTCTTGTAATGTCGTAGAGGTATCCGATTTTAGCGGTTCTCCCCAGAGCTTTCCGTTGTATTACCTCGTCATAAGCTTCCATTGATAGGTATTAATTATTTGGTTGCTGATTATTATAAGGGAACAATTTATTGAATAATTCCACGGTTAAAATTCATACTTTATATATATTTCCCAACTGAATTCTAGAATACTATAATTTTTATTTGAACATGCTAGTCACCTCATTGTATGCGAACCGCCACGGAGAGTAATCCCCGATACTGTAACCTTTGAGAATTCGGATGTTTATGTCATGCTGTATTTAACAAAAAAAAAAAATTTTTTTTTTGCTTCAACAATGTGCCGTGGTTTCCTTGGTGACCACGTGTATACAGCAATTTTTAGATTTTCTATTGTGTATATTCAATGCAATGAGTACGTACGTACTTTGTTTGACATTCCGACTTATCATTTAAAATCGTCTCGATTACTATTAGTATGCTATTGCTATAGTATATAATACATTATTTTCATTCTTACGAATTACTCTCGGGCGCAAATATCGAGAGTGCATTCCATACGTACTGTACGTATCTATCGGATTATACGTTCGTCAAGATACCTTAACTGTTAAATTTTAAACTCACCTTATTTTGGGAATCCCGATTTAATCCGAATACGGATAAAACATTCTTACGTAATAAAAGAAACGTTATCGAAACATTTTTTGAAAATAACTACGTCTTATCAATCAATCTTTATGTATTCAGTAAACTTACACAATATACCTTTATGCGTGAAAATTCCATTAATTTTAGATGATATTTTATTATTAATGGTCTGATTTTTATATATTTATTCATATAACATAGTATGTACAGTATACGTATACTGTGGTTAACCTTTTTTTAAATATTTTAAGTCTTTAAGCTTAATTTTGATGAAATATTTTAATTTTAATAAATATAATAAAAAAAAAAGAAAGAAAGAAAGAAAAATTTTAAAAAATATTAGTCAGCTTTCTCAAAAATCTATTTATCAAAATTTTTTTCAATAAAAGTTTGTTTATTAGAATTTTCTTTCTTCTATTAAATATTTAAAAACCTATTTTCTTTATTTCTTTCTTTTTAAAACCCTCTGTTAGACTAAGTATGTATGCTTTATTAAACATTTGTATGTTATACATTTAAAATGTTTTACTAAAGCCAATCTCTAGCTAAACACGCTTGTCTCCATTTTATATTTTACTTCTAAAATTCTAAGTACAACTTCAAAAGTGAATTATCACTTTGTTAGTAATTCGAGTAAAGACCTTTCTAACTGCTAACATTATCACTTTATTTCATATTTAATTCCTCTTGTTAAGATCTACTTCAAGCTTTCGTCTTCTAGATTTTTTTTTTTCAGATAATAGCCCTCTTTTTTGATGAAATGTCGATTTCTAGCCTGGAAAGCTTAAAGACTTTTTTATCTTAATATTTCTATGAAACTGTTGTATATGTTTTTATTTAATTATCTTTATAATTTTATTCCGATTCTTTTTAGGACTTGATTGCAGACTCTTATTTATATTGTAGCAGACTAATTAGTATATAATTAAAAGCTCATATATACAATGGGGATAAAAAAAATTGTCCTTTTTTCAAAAATGTTTAATTTAATAAAAAATTATTAAATCAAATTTAAAATATAAATATTTAAATTCCTAAAAATTAATTTTACTTAAGATTAATTTATAACTTTTATTATTATTATTATTTTATATTTTTATTTAATTAAAAATTTTATATTAATCACAAATTTTTACGAACTAATATATATAAATATAACTTTTTAAATATAGTTTTATATATAAAATAATATATAATTTATAATAAATTCGGTTACAGTAGTCGACAGGAGTGATAAACAAAATAAAAAAGCCAGGAAAAAGAAAGTGAAGTTTCTTTTAAAATGAATAGGAAAAGGAATATCAAGGACACATTATAAAACTGATAATAGTTACCAGTTAAAAACCAGTAGACAAACAGCAAAACCCCTCTTTCCAGCTACTGATAGTAATAGAGAACCAATGGAAAGAAGAAGAAGCCAGATATCAAGTCAAATCCTACAAGATCAATCTAAACTAATAATGAACCTTCAGATAAAAAATGATCACACAGACAAAGAATAAAACAGGAGATCAGAAATCGAGGGTTAACCACCACTCAGGAGACTGAAGTATTATAGCTAAGCAAAATAATCAAAAGACTTGGTAAAAGACTAAACAAGTTAGAAAAAAGTCCACTAAAAAGATGAGCCAATTTCTCCTGAAAGGCATACCAGTTCAACCACAAGAAAAAAGAAAATATTAGCATACTATTTCCAAAGTCAATATGAATAACAAGGGCAAAGCTCAACAAATAACAAAAAAAAAAATAAGAAGAAACAGAATTATCAAGATCCCAATATCTATTTGCAAGGCAATCAAGATATTGATATGTTTTTGAAAACAGAAAATAAAAATTTTAAACATTAATAAAAGAATAAAACAATTCATAAAAGAAAAACAAGAGGATAATATAAAATAATATATAGTAAGAATAAGTATATTTAATATTAAAAATATATTTGAAAGATCTAACAATATAACCTTATTGAAGAAATTCAAGAACAGGTGATGGGTATAACAGAATTATGTGAAGCAAAGCTTAATAAAATTAAAGCAAAGTGGGTCTTTGAGAATTAAGATACCTAAAAATACTTCTATAGCACTAATAAGGATACACCTTTTGAAACAGACATTAGCCTTTTAGTTAGGAAAGATTTGGAAAAAAATATAGTATCTATAGAAGAAACAGAAAGATATGATTGCTGTTAACTTTCTTATACAAAGAAACAAAGTTTGTATTATATAATTTTATATTTCTTCTGATAAGAAAAGAAATCAAAAAGTACAAATATATGTAATAAGCTTTATTTAAAAAAAGCATAAAAGTAACTTTTATATAATAGTAATGAGTGATTTCAATGTAGCATATAATCCAGTTAAATATAGAGTATCATCTTTCTAAGCAAGCTTTAAACCTTCTTGACAATCAGAAATTCCACTATTTAATATATTGGATAGATAGAGCTTTATAGATATACAAATAATATAGAAAGAAAAGAACAAAACTTCAACATGACATGATGTAACAAGTAGTGATTGTATAAACTATATTTGGATGTCACAAAGCTTAATAAGATATTCTATTTTACAGTTTAATAATCAAAGTATAGAAGAAATTTCAGATAGTAATCATACTATACTCATAATAATATTACTTGATATAGGTTTCTTCAAAAAAGAAACATAGCAGAAATAGCTAGAATAAAGCTTGTTAAAAGAATTGATATAAAGAGATCAACATCAGAACAGTAGCAAGCATTCAGTAATAACATAGCACATAAGCTTAATATAAAACTAGATCCACTATCATAAATAGAAAATAGTGAAAAAGAAAGCTGGGCCAATAAAATTTGAGAAGTGTTTGAAGAACAAATAAGTAAAGCAATTTACAACAAGCTGGTAACAAAAAAAATTGCTTCAACTAAAACACAACACTATAAAATACAGCTCAGAATTTATCAAATATAGAAGATCTCTACAACTAATAATATTCTACAAAAAAGCTATGGTTAGAAAGAATATCAATAGCTTACAGATCTTAAATATAGCTATTGACATGTATAATAGAGCACATAAGCCTAATCAGTAAATAGAAAACCATGCATCTAGCATATTATCTCTAATATTCCCTGGACATTATTAAAAAATAATATTTAAGATGCAAAAGAAGGTTTCAAGCTAGTATATCAGAAGCTGGAAGAAAAAAGACAAGGAATAAAATCAAATCATCTCTTAAACAAATATGCAAAGATCTGAGAACCAATAAAAAATGAATGGTAAACTCATTAACAAATAGAAAAAGGATAAAAATAGTGCTAGATAGGATTAAAATCAAGGAAAATAAATCTGAATACATAGCAATCAAGAAAGAAAAAATGGAAGGTGAGATATAAATGTATTATAAAGATACCTTCAAAAAATGAAATGTATATTTTGACAATCTAACAAGTGATTGGAAAACAGAGTACAAGCTCAAAGACTACATCAAAAGACATAATATAAAGATATCTTAAAGCCAATCTTATAAAAGAAGCTAAGTGAAGTACTATAAACACTTTCTAACAATAAAACTCCAGAAAAATTACAAAACAGCTATAAAATATTGAAAAGACTAGGATCTAAAGGAAAAATATACTTGAGAAAAATATTTAACAACTTTTTAAGATGGGAAATAACTCTAATATGATAAAAACGAGTAATATATATTCAATTGCAAAGCCAAAACCATAAAAATGTGATCTGCAAACACAAGATCTATAGTTTGCTAGAAGTAACAAGAAAGTGCTTTACAAAAATTTTTGCTAATAGATTGGGAAATATCTGTAAGACAAACAATATCTTTAAAAGTCCCAGCTATGCAGGACTTCCTAGTAAAAGTATAGTTGAACCTATCCAAATCCTGAATAATATCTGTGAAAATACATGAAAAGTAAAAAGGAACTCTGAATACTTTTTTAGGATACAGCTAAGTCATATAATACTATTAGTTTGAATATGTTAAAAAAGGTGATAGAAAGAATTAAAATTTTAGCCACTTTATTAATATAGTAATGAAACTGTTTATAAATAGTGAGTTTAGAGTTATTTATAAAAACAACTTAACAAGTCTAATAATAACAGGAGATGGAATTGATCAAAGGAAAACCATCTCTCTTCTGATGTGGAGAATATTCTATGATCCTTTTCTATGCAAGATTTAGAACAATGAAGAATGGGAAAACAAGATAGTAGTTTTCTGGAATCCAGATCTAACAAGAAATAATACAAGAAAATAAAGTTTTATATACAGCTATTGTCTTTATAAATAATACTACATGAATTGCTAAATCTAAAAAAGACATCAAAAAAATTCTTAAAGAAGTAAGAATTTTCTATAAGGCAAATAACTCCCAAACCAATAGTAATAAATCAATGC